CACATGGTAACTTACACAGAAATATAAAGTGCTACAAGAAAATTGCTCATTTCTCTTAGATTTACATTTTATGTATTTTTTTTCTCTTTTAAGAAGTGATAAGGCATGTAATTTCCATCAACTTCAACAAGCTACATATGAAAGAGGCTGCAAGTTCAGCTCTGTGGAGGGAGAAACGAGTTGTGCAGAGAGCCTGCCCCACTGCCTTTGTTCAAGTCCCTGTCGGGGGTCATTTTGGAAGCCAAGACTGAGATCCCAAGCGTGGGATCCTCACCAGTTAAAAACAAGTCTGTCTGCCCTTGTTTTCCGGACCTGCTGGCCTCAGTGTCCCAGGAAAGTTCTCTTCTCTGGATCTTCAGAAGCCTCAGGGAGAAAGGAGGCAGTGAGACAGCTGTGGCCAGAGTTCATGGGCACAGATCTTTCCAGGACTGGAGGCTCCAAGCAATTTCCATAAAGTAATTATTTTCTATTAATCCATCCATTTAGTCAATACATGCTTACCACTGTTTAATAGCAAAGTACCTCTTACATATGCTGACGTGACATTTCCTTACTAGCCTTCATTATAATTTTCGAACATGTCTAATGATAAGGATAATTGGCAGCCTCAACTTGGCAAAAAACAAAAAACAAAAAAAATCTATTTAGGAATCCTGATTTTGTTTGAGAAGTAGAGATGCACACACAACTAGTGATGGGGAGACATGAGTAAGAGAGACAAAGCTCTGAGGGTGGTCCATTGGTCTACCCTCAGAGGGTCTTGGGGCAGAGGCCAGAGCCAGAAACAGGGGACACAATTCAGGTCTCCAAGAAAGGTGGCAGGAACACACTTACTAGAGCCATTCCATCTGCTTGCTAAAGTTTGTGTTAGTGGAAACATGGAGTTGAGCCAGGACTCAGGAAGCTAACTGTGATGTGGGATGCAGGCCCCGCGGTGGAGGATGCGGGCAGCTTGTATGAGTACTCCTGTACTTGTCTGAGCTTGCATGCCTTTCATTGAACACAAAAATACTGACCTCATGCTCTAATATACCTATAAAAACACATGTATATGTGGACAGGACATTATTTTTTTCCTGGGATTTTATTGACTTGTCTGTGGTTTAATAGACACCACCATCATTCACTTACTTAAGGTTTAAAAAGGGGGCTCATGTTAGAGTGGGTTAAGCTGCAGCACCAACTTCCCATATTGGAGTGCCAGTTCAAGTACCTTCTAACGCTGCAAGGAAAGCAGAGGATAATCCAAGTGCTTGGGCTCTTGCTAACCAACTGGGATACCCAGATGAAGTTCCTGGCTCCTGGCTCTGACATTTCTGTTAATGGTCTTTGGGAAATAAACTGGGACTTGGCTGTGGCTCTGTAGGTTGAGCTACTGCCTGCAGTGCCTGCCTTCCATATAGGCACCTGTTTGAATCCTGGTTGCTCCATTTCTGCTCTAGCTCTCTGCTAACACGACTGGGAAAGTGTTGGACTCCTACACCCAAGTATGCTCTTGGCTCCTTACGTCAGTGTGGCCTAGCTCCAGACATTTGCAAGCATCTGAGAAGTGAACCAGCAGGTGGAAGATCTTTGTCTCTCCCCCCACCCTCACATTTCGCTTTTCAAATTAGTAAAAATAAATCTTAAAGAAAAATTCAGTCACCCTTCTAGTTTGGACTAAAGGATGGAAACAAAAACTATTCCTTTGAAAAACATTAAAGATACTTTCCCTCTAAATTGCATGTGTTACGCTATGAAAATAAATTTTTGATAACCAAAACAAAGAGTAGAGAAGAAAGATGTTCCAACAGGCAACTTAGAATAACATTTATTATGTTAACTGGGCTGGTAACCAAGCTCCTTTATTCTGCATGTTTTTGGTGGGGAGGAGTCCTGTGGGGGCAGAACTGGTTTCTCTTGTTCATTGTAACATTTTGTAGCATTGCACAAGCTGGGGAATTTTAAAGTGGTTCAATGAATGAAAGCTGTTGATTTCATTGAGACCTCAAGAATGTAAAGTGCCTTCTGCAGGTCACTTTAGTTGCAAGTAGACTTAGGATTGGTTCCAAGTCAGGTCTGACTTCAAGGCTTGTGTGTGTGTTTGTGCATGTCCCTGAGATGGCCTTGATGTACCCAGTGGCCACTCTTCAGATTCTCTGTATTGGCTCCTCCGGTCAGTACTTCCATCCTCTCTCCACTCTGAGAAGGTGGGGAAAAATTATAGGTGCCATGTTGATAGGGCAGAAAATCACAAATGTCCCAGAAGGATCTTACCAGACCCCTGTCTTTTAAATTTGGATCTCTGCCGTCTTAACACTCTGAATATTTTCCATGTTATGCTAGATCAGCGAGAAGAAACACACAGACCAGGAGATATAGGTGCCAAGGCCTAGCTTGTGAAGATAATCCTTGCCAACACATTTACAGAGCATCCCACCCACATCCCCATGAAGGAAGCATGATACAGTAATGGCTGAAACCACAGCAAGCCACTGTAGCTGTGGCAGGTAAAGATCCTTAATTATAAACCAAAAATACAAGGTATTAATGAGAGATTTAACACCTACAGTCACACTTACAGAGCTACAAGGTGTTAATGAGCAAGATACACCCCAATTTTTTTCCTTTCTTTTTTTTTTTTTTGCCCGTTGGCCAGCTGGTTTTGCTGTTAGTATAGAATATTTGAAACCTTAAGTTGTGAAACCATGAACCCGAAGGATTCCTGGGTTGTGAATGATGCCGTCTTTAACATGAAGGACTTCCAGTGAAATGCAAGCACATTCAGGTAATGTGTTGCAGCAAGCAGGCTCTTGAATTTATTGTAGAGGAGAGTGTGTGCACTGACCAAAATGGAGAACGACGAGAAGTAACTAAATTATGTATGACAGTTTTCACGGAGTGGAGGAAGGAAGCAGGCTTAATGATGTTGTGGTTGGAGGACCAGCAGCAATAGGTGATGTATTGGTGGGAGGACGGTCATAAGAGCAATGGATCTAAGAAGACTCAAAGACTACAGATGAGTGTGACAAGGACAAGCAGTGGATTTGGGAGGGGAAGAGAAACCAGAGGCTTAGGATTTAATGCATTTTAGTGGCAATAAGACAGCCACGTCAAGTCAACTTGACATGAAAAACCATCATCATAATCTATGTAGCTCTTTCAAGCTTGATTCTGATCAAGGCAAAAAAAAAAAAAATTATGGTTAACGATGAAGTATTTTCTCCCTTTGCTTTCCCGGCATCTACCAAGGCAGTACATAATTTAATTATTGAATCTGCAGGCTGGACCATGGAGATGAAGAACGATATGTCTGCTGCAGTGAGAAATTAGATAGAACCGCCTGCTCACGCTCATCATTCTTCCCCCGTTAGGCTAAATTAATACAGTTAGCAAGCTTTTGTTTGGATTAGCAGTTCAGACCTGGGATGTGCAGAATTCATGATTATTACAGTAGCTGTTATTTATGGAGCGCTGACAGCATGCTCAAGTTCCACATGCAGAACAGAACCAGCATTCCAGCAAGGCCTAGACGTCTAGACTAAGAAGATCTACAAAGTCAGATTCCGTGCCTCAGGGCACCTGACCTCATCTAGCATCTTTCCTATTGAATTGTTTTTCTATTCTTTTCAGTAATGGGACCAACAAGTGCAGTTTCAGTGGGCAGACATCACCAGGGGAATTGAATACGAAGCGGGCTGTGTGAGTAGTACTGGGAGGGGGCTGAGCAGCAGGGGCAGCTTTCAGCAGACACCTGGGACTCTTTTACATAGAGTAGAAACTGTAAGCTGGTCAAGCAGAGCACAAATGCAAATACAGCTTTTCAGGCACGTGTCCCGGCAGAAATGCCCTTCTCCCCTTCCCCTCGTCTCACCCTGTCTTCAGTAGCAAACTATCACAGGACTACAGCACTCAAGAGACTCATTCCAGAGAACAAAATCAGCTTGGTTGGGAGTACGGGGGGAAGCACCACATTAAGATGACTTGCGGATACAGGCATCTCCCATCAGAACATCTGGGGTCTGGGTTTCAGTCTTCTGGCTTAGGAACCAGCTTCCTTGTAACACACACACTGGGAGGCAGCAGGTGAAGAGTTAAGTACTGGAGCTCCACTACCCATATAAGGAGACACTGATGCAGTTCCCAGCCCCTGGTCTCGGTCTGGCCCATCCCTGGCTGGACTAGGCATCTGCCTGATGGACCAGCACATTGAAAATCTACTGTTTTTCTACTCTACCACCCTACCTTTCAAAGAAATTAAAAAATAGTAAGGGCTCGGTGTGGTAGCCTAGTGGCTAAAGTCCTTGCCTTGCACATGCCAAGATCCCACTTGGGCACTGGTTCTAATCCCAGCAGCCCTGCTTCCCATCCAGCTCCCTGCTTGTGGCCTGTGAAAACAGTCGAGGATGGCCCAAAGCCTTGGAACCCTGCACCCCGGTGGGAGACCCGGAAGAGGCTCTGGAATCTGGCTTTGGATTGTCACAGCTCTAGCTGTTGTGTCTGCTTGGGGAGTGGATCAACCGACGGGAGATCTTCCTGTCTATCTTTTTAATAAAAATAAAATAAATCCTTAAAAAAGTAAATTCAAAAACAAACTCCATCAAGTTCGTCGGCACCAGATTTGTTTGTTTTGAAATCACATAAGACAGTAGCCTTACATAGTTGAGGTTAGCTCCGAACTGAGATCAGCAACACCTGACCTCCCCAAAAGGGGCCAAAAAGGGATCAAAAAGGGGCAATTTCCCCAAACCCAACTCTCCCCCTCTCCCCGCTTCCTACATGGCGCTGCACCCTTTCCTCTCCCACCTGCTCCAAGAAAAGGAGACAGCCACCCGTCAGAGAAAGGGAAGTCGTTTGTGCCAAGCCAGCCAGACAGTGGCCTGCGCGCGCCATGGTCCCAGCGGATCCCGGGCCACCAGAGGCGCCAACCTAGGCCGTCAGAGTGGCCGGCCGACCCGCCTCCTTCCGGCCGGCCGGCGGCCCCGCCTCCTGCCCCGACTTCCTTTCTCCGGTCGCGGGCGCAGGGCTGCGTGCAGAAGCGCAGCGGGCTGGAGGCCGGCGGACGAGGAGCGGAGTGCGCGCAAGGGGCCAGCTGTGTGGGTACGCGGCCCCGCGCGCCACGTGGCGCCACCGGGGTGCGGTCCGGGCTGTGGAGCTGGCGCCCGCGGAGCCCCGAGGATTCCCCGCTCGGCGTGCACGCTTCCCAGTGCTTAAACGAGGGCGGGCAGGGAAGCGCACGTGTCGTTCGCTCAGGGCTCTTTTCCCCGAGTGCGCATGGCATCGGCGGGACTCGCTCTGTTCTTATGGTCCAGGGCACGGGGTCGTGGGGGAGGGAGGAGGAAGTTGTTTTGCTTCTTGGCACCCACTTGTGGGGAGGGGAATGCAGGTTGATCCCTGAGTCTGAGTTGGTGGGGCGGTGAGCAGCGTGAGTTACTTAAGATGGAGCTTTCCTGGATTGAGCTCGGAGTTCCCGGGCTACCACGTCTAGTTTACAACCTGTGTTGGCTTACACCCTCGCCTGGAGAAGGCTCCTACAGGAGGAGCTCACCCTCCTGCGTACGGCAGGCGCTTACCTAGCATCCTGCAGCCATCAGGTATGCGGGGTAGGAGAACCGTGAATCTGGCTGCAACTCCCGTGTTTTAAAGGGCGTTCCGCCTCCCAGGATTTGCACCTACTGCTAACCTGTTGGCTTTCTGTTCAGGATTTGGGCCCAGTACTGATCCTCACGCTAGGCACTTTCTCATAACACAGCCTAAGTTCAAAGTCTGGACCCTGTGGCTAAACTTGGAAACTCCTCCCCTTGCTTTGGAATGGAGGACTGGCTTTGTGCTTGCGTTGCCTTCTCCCTTGCTTCTGTTTTTTTCGAAATGGGTCTCCTAACCTGAAGGTCAGGGCCATCCTTGGTAGGCTTGTGGGGTTGGAGAGGCAGCCTGCACCTGCCGGTAGTAACAGCCCTGTTAGCAGAGGGGGGCTTAACTAGTAGTAGCACTTACAGCACCTGACACTTAAAATGGCTTTTCTTTGTCCTCAGAGCTGGTAACTTCTGTCTGGGGCAACCGAGAAGGAAGGGAAGGGGCAAATTATTTGATCATTACCTGATTTGGGAATATAACCCAACATGCATAGGTAATAATCCTGGGTGATTTAGGGCAGGGTCCCTAGGTTCTTCTAATCTCAAGGTGGGATTCTGCTGTCTATTCTAGCTCAGAGTGGGTCTTGACCTGTGGGTGTGTGTCAGCACTAGCAGTCTGTTAGATGGTCCGGAATTTCGCTAACTTCATTTGCCAAGAGAGGGAAGACAGAACAACTTGTTAGACAGGCATGAGTAAGTAATCATTGTGCTATGAGAAACCTGCACGAAGATGAAGGGGTTAGAAAGGAGAAGTGAAACAGTGCCAAATCTGAACTTCTGAAATAGTGAGTTCTTTTTTAAAAGCTAACGCTGTTTGTAGCCTATGTTTTGTGATTTCTGATTGATACATGTAGCTGACGTCTGCATGTGAGGTCTATAGTTGGGTTGAATTAGATTTATCAAAATACTTTTCTTAATGATGATTTTACCATTTTTTTTTCTTCTAGAGCCAACATGAGTGAGGTTTCCTGCAGAAAACGGGATGACTACTTGGAGTGGCCCGAGTATTTCATGGCAGTTGCCTTCTTGTCAGCACAGAGAAGCAAAGATCCAAATTCACAGGTATGTGAGTTTCACAGGAGAGTGAACACTCAAAGATGGGCCCAGAGAAACAAGTCACGAAGGACGGACGCAGGGTGAATCCGCCACCTTTTGTGCAGCATAAGTGTAGGTGCAGGTCTTAGTGTGAGAATCACTTGTCACATGCCCTTGTTACCTGCCACTTGTGTCCTCCATGGGGGCTAGGAATGTGCAGGGTGCTGGTGGAAACGGGCCAGGACACAGCTCTCAGCACCTCAGGCTGCTGCCTGTCCATTTTGAGCTTGCTTTCCCTGTGGTGTGGTTGTGTTCAGTGCCTCCTGCTTGGGGCAGGGGGGTTGAGAGAGCCGAGAAGAGCCGTATGGAATCAGTGAGCGTGTCCCTGTGTCTCCCTCTAGGTCGGAGCCTGCATCGTGAACGCAGAGAACAAGATCGTTGGGATCGGGTACAATGGCATGCCTAATGGGTGCAGCGACGACCTGTTGCCTTGGAGGAGGACCGCAGAGAACAGGCTGGACACCAAGTACCCTTACGGTAGGGTGGGCGTGCTACCCTTCTGCTTAGCTGTGTGGTCTGGTGCTGGTGCACCAGAGATGTCAGTTCCAGGGTTCTGCAGCATGGCTAGGAAGTTGTATTTACCTATCATTTACTCTGTGATTCAGAAGACCCAGAAGAGAGGATTCTTAGTATAACCAGCACAGATCAATGGGATATTCTGATCTGATTGTCATATGTGTATCAAAGTACTACTGTGTACGCCACAAATATGTATAGTTGTTACCCACCCGTTTTTAAAAAGGGAAAGCTGATCGGAGATGTTGTATCCTTTTTCCATTCATCAAAAGGTTGAAAGAAAACTCTTACTGAGCTGCCCCAGTTTCCTGTGCTCGTGCTTTCAGTCCCTTAGAGACCTACAGGAAAAAGCTTGCTGTCATCCGGTAGGCAGGCTCTGCTGTCCCAGACCCCTCTTCCTGTGGTGGGCCTAGCATGCTTCACTGGTAGCCTCTGCCTTGAAGGTGGGTGTCTGTTGCCCCTTGCAGAAGAGCAGGTGCAGTGCTCTGTGGACTGTTGTCTTACCACTTAGAACCAGGGTCTGCAAGCCTGGGGCTTGGGTCAACACTGCTGCCTGACCAGCACATCTGCCGCAGCTCATCTCTGGGAAGCAGAAATCACACAGAGTTGGCCAGCAGGGCATGGGTGATTATGTAGTTACTATCTGTGAGCCAGGGGACATGGCAACCCACAGTGGGCTGTGTGGTCAGACCCAAAGCCAGAAACCTCTGGCTTGGGTGTGTTCAGATTTTTGCCTTGAAATGAAGGAAAGATACTTATTAAAAAACGAGTTGCCCAAGGGTGGCCCAGGTAGAGTTCCTGTAGTCACAGACCGGCAGGTCTGGGTACATCATCACTTTTCCTTTCATTCTCTGGCAGCTGCTCAACTAAATACAATAAAAGAAGCCTGTAGGGTTGCATATGGTGACTACTACTAATTTCTCCTAATGTTGGGCCCTGTACTTACATGTGAACAAATAGACTGGGCTTTTGGCAGTAGGGTAGATTAAGGCCATCCAAATGGAAGTGATTGTGCCTTCAGGAGAACCGAGTTCAAGACCTGATTTAAGACCTTTCTTTGTTGACTCTTCCCTGGTGTGGCTCCTCAGGGTTTTTCTTGCAGAGAATCTTAGTCTGTGCTTAGTCTAATTTATACATACTTTTACTAATGTTCCTGGGCCTAAATCATGTTAAACTGCTTAAGGGAAACCAACTCCTCCGTGTTTGGGAAAAAAAAAAAAGCAAAAAAAGGGTTCCCGGAGGAAGAAAAGAAATGGAGGAAAAGAAATGCAGAGCGCCCTGGGTTTCCAGGGTGTAAGAAGCGTTTTCGTGATTGAGGGGATGTAATAGGTCATCAGATTCGTGCTTTCCTTGTGGGAGTAGCGTCAGGGTTAGGAGAAGTTAAAGCAATCTTCCCAGCAAGTAGAGTGGATGGTAGTTAAGTGGTAAGAAAAACTTGCTGACATATTTTAGAAGTTTTTTTCTCATCTTGACTTCAGTTCTGTGAGATTTGTTTGTTAGGAATGGAAATGATCAGTTGTCTTTATGCAGATATAAATTCTTCACAGTACAGTTCAGTATCCCATAAGAAAATGATGGGAATGAGAGAGTTGATATGGGAAAGCTCTGCGTTGAAATGAATGACAGCCACCGTCAGGGTTTCCCTGGCTGACACAGTGACATATTCAGTCCTTGAGCTGTACTCTGATACAGACGAGTTCTTGGGAAATGTCAGTGACGTCAGACCCAGGCTGATGGCAATAAACCCCTGTGCAGTGGGTGTGCGACACAGCTGTGAAGTCGCTGCTTGGGAGGACGCCTGGCATCGTATCATGGAGGGCTTGTTGGAGTCCCCCTTGTCATCTGGTTTCTTTCTAATATATCCTGGGAAGCAACAGATGACAACTCAAGAACTGGGACCTGGCATCCCTTTGGGAGACCCGGAAGGAATTCCAGGCTCCTGAGTTCACAGCCTGGCATACCCGTGGCTATTGCAGGCACCGAGGGAATGAACCAGCAAACAGAAAACGTCTCCTTAACTCTCTCACTCCATCTTTCAAATTAAAAACAACTACATCAAAATGATATGTCAAAAAAGAAGGTGCCTGGCAGTAGAAGGGTCCTTAGTGGTCACTGGAGCAGCCTTCCTAGTGGGACCTGAACCCTTTTTCTTTTTTTAAAGATTTTTTTTTTTATTTGAATGGCAGAGAGAGTGAGAAAGATCTGTTTTTTGGATACTCCCTAAGTGGTCAGGGCAACCAGGAATCAGGAGCTCCATCCAGGTCCTCCATGTGGGTGACAGGGATCCATTACCTGCTGTCTTCCAGGGTACATTAGCAGGGAGCTAGGTTGAAAATGGGACAACAGGAATTGGACTAGTGTTTGTAGGTTTCCTGGCATCACATGAAGCTGCTTAACCTACCACGCCACAACACAGCCTGGATCTGGTACCTTTTTAGTCACAGTGAACCCCAGAGAAATTTGTAGTGATGACTAAGAAAGCAAAGGGTTTGTTGTACATTTGCAATGTCCACCCCCCTCACTCCCTCACTCCCATGTACTCGTAATCTTCACAAGGAACTTGTTTTGAGACATTGTCTTCGTCCAAGCTGGGGCAGGTCCCTCCTGGGTCCTGTTCTGAAGGAGTTACACACACACGCACACACATACACACGCAAACAGATTCTACTGAGTTCTGTGGCACTGGTGGTCTGTCTTACATTGTGTTTTTTTAATTGGAAAGTCAGATACACAGAGAGGAAGATCTTCTGTCTGATGATTCACTCCCCAAGTGGCTGTAATGGCTGGAGCTGAGCTGCTGCAAAGCTAGCAGCCCCATCCAGGTCTCCCACATGGGTGCATGGGTGCATGGTCCAAAGGCTCTGGGCCATCCTCGACTGCTTTCCCAAGCCACAGTCAGGGGAGCTGGATGGGAAGTGGGGCTGCTGGGATTAGAACCGGTGCCCATATGGGATCCTGACACATGCTGCATTGTTTTTTTTATCCTTGTGTGTCTAGGTTTCCAAGACTCTGCCCTTGGTTGTCAGTTATTCATTTTCTTTGTAGCTCTGGAAGAATACAAGCCATTTTCCTTCATCAGAGTAAGCTTGTAATTTGACCTACTCTAAAAGTTGTAGAAAGTATTAAATGGTTTATTAAAGGCATTTTGAATGACTACAGATATGGAACGAGCAAAGTTTGGCTTTAACTATAACTTTGACCGTTGATAAGGTATGCCCTCCTTCTTGCCTTTTCAAGGCTTTCAAGACCTAGAAATACAAGGGTACTTCAAAAGGTTCATAGAAGAATGAAATTAAAGAGTATAGATTTATTTTGGTACCAAAAATTTTCAAAAATCCATGTGTAGCTCTTTTGATAATACCCCATTCTCCATGAATCTTATAATGACTCCACGTATGCATGGATTTCAGAAAGGTTTGCACCAAGGTGAACATAATTCTAGTTTCTCAAACTTTTTGATGGGCTCTTACAAATGTTTGGATTGCCTGTGGTGCAATAGAAATGTTGGGTGATAATTATCCAAAAAGTAAATTCTTCTCTGTTTTATAACAGTTAGCTTGAGCAATAAGGTGATGATGTCTGGAGTGGTGTATCTGCACTGCTCCTCACCTCTCCCCCGCCTGTGGCAGCTGCACTGTCAGGAAAGCTGCACCTAGTCCCAGGACAGGAGCTTGGAGGTGATACGGAGTTACAGAGCACCGAGTCTCAGCTCTTGCTTTGCTTGCTTGAAGATTTTTGGCTTTTTTATTTGGAAGGCAGAGTGACAGGTTGAGAGATCTCTCCCACATCCACTAGGCCACTCCTCTAAGTGAGTACTAATCCTGTTTACAAAGGTTTCTCCCTCACGGGTTGCACCTTCTACTTGCCTCCCAAATGCATCACACTGAGGGGGTCAACATATGGACATGGTGGGGAGGGGAGGGCATTCATTTAAACCAGCATGCTCTCCTTTGAAGAAAGGTTGCGTTCAGTCAAGTGCAGGTAGCTTCTGACCTTGGTGAGTGTCCCGGGCAGGTCGCCAACCCTGCGCTGGAGTCTGAAAGGTGACTTCATCTGGGCCTCGGCCCTCAGGTGTACCATGAGAAGACGGTCAGCATCTCGGAGAAGTTCGAGTCCCTGGCCCCACAGGAGATACAGAACAGTGAAGTTGGAATTAAGTTTCACCCTGTGTGCCACAGTAAGAAGTCCCTTAAATAAAAGGGTAGGTGGGCAGGTGTTTCCTGGCATCCTTTGAGTAACAGTTCCGCTTCTGACCCCAGCTTTCTACTAATGCAAACCCTGGGAGGCAGTGGTGACTGGTAGGACCAAGCAGGAAGTAGGGCCTTTACTTGCCACCCATTTTGGAGATCCAGATTGAGTTCCCAGCTCCCAGCTTTGGCCCGGCCTAGCACCAGCCACTGTAAGCATTTGGAAGTCTTCCTGTCCCTCTGATTTTTTTTTTAATTCCTGTTTATTTTTGGCTCCTGGGATAATGTCATCTTTTCAATTAAAAAAAAAAGCAAGTTCAACACAAAATAGAAATCTGAAGTGTGGGACAAAACCAAAGGGCTGTGGCCAAGAACAGCAGAGATGAGATGCTGCAGAGAGGGCACCCTGTCTCCTCTGAGTGGCAGGCAAACCTTCCCAAGCCATGTCAGGGGGATGGATATGGGTGGGGAGAGCTACTGGGGGCTTAGGGACCAAGGCTGTTCCTTCTTCAGTCCGGAAGAAATGAAACACAGGAAAGTTGAGCTCAGGACAAACCTAGAGGGAAACCAGGGATGGAGATAATACTGTTAACACTCCCTGAGCTGCATTGCAAGATACCTTCACGTGATGGGCTTCTTCCCACCTTTCTTGGCTGCTACTTGGACTTATCTGGATTCTCTGCCCATGGCTTGTTCTGAATGGCAGACGACCCAGATTCTTGGGAGAATTATTTTGGAAAACAGAAAGAAAATACGAACTGGACAGATATGGGA